GTGATGATACTTTACATTGTATTCTCAGAATAAGATCATCAAATAACATAAAAGCAAACATTTATAATATTATTCATAATAAATAATTACAATAATATTGTTTTTTGTTGATTATTTGTATAAATATTACATATTTTCTTTAAATATTTGATTTTTTAATAAGTTATTAGTTTCGAAATATTGAATTTATTTTCGCATCCTTAATTTTGCTTTCCCCCCATTATTTTTACCCCTTTGCCTAACCCTAATTTATGCTGGTAACTATATGAATAATTATTATAGACACTGTTTAAAAAATTTATAGTTTTACATATAAAGTAAACTGTAACGTAAAATACCATTATCATTAACCATTGTTTATTATATTAGTCCGTTATATTTGATCTAGGAAAGAAATACATCGCATACGGCAGTCGAGTTTGTTAAAGGGGGTGAACCTATCGTTTTACTTTATGGCCGTCCGTATAATATTATACGCCTGTTGTGTGACACTAGTGTTGACGGGCCGGGAGTTGACGCCCGAGCGGGTGTTTGTCTCCATAGCGTTCTTCAATATAATGCGGATAACTATTACCAAACAGTTTCCCAATTGTATCGCCGCTACCGCCGAACTCAATGTCGTTATACATAGATTACAGGTATTAAACATACCCTTATATCTCGGTGTTAACCCCTACCCCAAACCACTATATCTAATTTGTTTTACTATATTTGTTGTATAGACATTTTTAATGCTAGATGAAATGACAGAAACAACTTCAGTAGACAATCACGTGGACAATCACCATGATGATTTAGGAGTTCACATAGATAAGCTTACTGTACGCTGGAATAATGTAAGTGTATTACTATGGCAGTGCAAAATGCATAATAGTTGCCTCAATTATAATTAATAAAATAAAATGACCCTACACCAACAGGAACAACCGGAGCCCACACTGGCTGATATTAGCCTAAGCGTAAAACCGGGCCAACTATTGGCCGTTATTGGGACAGTTGGTTGCGGAAAGGTTAGGCACAAAACACATTCGAGTCAAATATAACATTTTATTAAACTAACTAGTTTAACAATAAACATATTTTTAAATAGAGCTCGCTGTTAATGTCAATACTGGGCGAACTGGCTGTGAGCTACGGACAACTCTCTGTACGGGGTCGGGTGTCGTACGCGGCACAAGAATCATGGGCGTTTATGGCCAGCGTTAGGGACAACATACTATTCGGTGCCGAGTATGACGAGCACCGGTACCGGTCAGTGGTCAAGGCGTGCGCACTCGACACGGATTTACGGCTCTTTCCCTACGGCGACAAAACACTGGTCGGCGAAAGGGGTGTATCGCTGAGTGGGGGTCAGAGGGCGCGGGTAGCCCTGGCCCGGGCCATATACCACCAGGCTGATATTTATTTGCTGGACGACCCACTGTCCGCCGTGGACGCGCACGTGGCCAAACACTTGTTTCAAAAGTATGATCTACTCGCGAAACTAAATACACCAAATAGTATTAAAATTAAAATTATTTATTTTTAGGTGTATCGTAGACTACCTGAGCGATAAGGTCCGAGTGCTGGTCACCCATCAGATCCAGTTCTTGAAGGCGGCCCATAAGGTACTGGTTCTGAGCGAAGGCCGTTGCGTAGCCCAGGGAACCTACGACGAGCTCCGGGCGGCCGGCGTTGACTTTCTCTCGTACATCAAACTCGTGTCAAACACCGGCACCGACTATAAACAGTTAACCGCTGGCCTCCAGGCCTACACCCCATCCATACCGAGCAGTATTGGCGACATGTCTGAGATGGCCAGCAGTGGTGCGGCGACTGCGGAGGCGATGGCCCAGGAGTTGGCGGACATCGAC